GAAGGGAGGGAGGGAGAGAAAGAGGGAAGGAAGGGAGGGAGGGAGAGAAAGAGGGAAGGAAGGAAAGGAAGAAGTTTTCTAAAGATATATTTAAAAAGCATCATAAGTAAAGATTAATACTTCCAATGAAGAAAATCATGCAAAGAAATTTTCATCAAAGTAAATCCCTTAGCAATCTCTTTTAAGGAATTTATCCACTGGCTGCATATCACATGGTAGCCTGATTTTAATATTGAACTCAAAGATCGATTTATAGGCCAAAGATGCTGATTTTACTCAGCTGAACTCACTTAGCAGCCTCTACAAGAAGCCTCAGCGTGCTGTTTTGGCTGAACACTTTCCAGACCAAGTGGGTCTTGGCTGCGTGGTTTCCTTGCACCCAATGCATAGATAAATACAGGGAGAAGTCATCACTGGCAGGAACATTAAGGCTTGGATCGTACGTCAGCGCTGCTTAGCTGGCAACCGAACAAGTAATTGACATCGCTGCGAAGCCTCCTGTTATGGCTTGTCCATTACACATCAATTGCAGGAGAGGCTGTAAGTTTATTAGAGCCCAATTTGGGAATCCTACAAGCACTTGGGATTTATACTCTATTGACTGAATGTACAGTAATTAATCCGTGGGTGAAATTAAATACAACCCTAAGGAATATTTATGTGAAAGTTCTTAAATTCTGAGGACGTCTGTGAAAATCACATGCCAAAGGAGCAAAAGACAGTTTAAGTAGCCTAGCTGGAGACAGCAGCCGCTCCAGCCTAGACAGCTGCCTGAGCAGGCGTCATGTGCCTCGTGTCCTGGGCTCTCTGTATCCGGTCCTACTTCATAGATCCAACCTTGCTTCAGTGGAGGAATGTTTTAAGTAAAAGTCCAAATGTGCAGATAATTTCCTGTCATTCCATAAACATTATAGTAAAATTCCTCTCCATTGGCATGATATTGTATTTGGTGTTATAAGTCATGCAAAGTACACATGATTAGTTGAATATGTGGGGTGTATTTGCAGGTTAAATGTAAATACTTTGCAGACTTTATTACATTTATTTATTTGTGTGTGTGTGTGTGTGTGTGTGTTCTGCGTGTGTGTGTGTGGACAGTGTATGTGCGTGTGTGGACAGTGAGTGCCATGGCCTGCATCCATGCATGTGAAGGTCAGAGGACAACTTTCAGGACTTGGTTTCTCCTCCCATCATG